AAATTAAATAAATTTGGTGCTCTTCTTATTTGTACATGTGTTGACTATGTAACATAATGAAACTGTGTATTTTGACCCCAAAATATCACATAAAAACAATCTATCTTGTCCAAAGTTTTAGTTAATCGGGTGCTGTTAAATAAAACGAGTTGTTTGTTATTGTAGTACATTAGACTCGCTTTTATAAATGAGTTTGGTTTCGAGCTTATTTAAGACTTGTTTTGTGGGTAGTGCTCGTTAGATTGATAAATTCATATATCTTTTTTGAATTTTCATTATATATGGTCATATTAATGAATCAAGAGTGAGTTTGTATATCAGCTCGTTAACTTATTAAGCATAATTTGACTAGACTTGATAAGAATTCGAACATGAGCTCGAGCAGTCTGAACTCGAATATACAAAAATAATACTCAATACAATTCTACTCGTTGTATTTTATGGCTCATGAAAGATGATGTATTCATATTAACTTCAAAGTTCAAACAAACATCCACGAACAAAACTACATTTCAAATTCAAGATGTTAAAAATAAGGATGTTATTTGAATCGAGCAGAACTGAATCGAGCAGTTCGTGCTCGAGTTCCTACTCGTTTCCAAATTAAAATTTTGGTTAAAGCTCGACTCGTTTAGCAAGTCCCAACAATTACAAATAAATTATTCACGAACATCATGATTCGTATATACGTAAACATGTTATATGTGACTTTTTATTCGACTTGTTTAATAAAATAAAATAATTCTTTCATTGTCCTCAACTCGTTCAATCAAAACTAATTGTAGGCCAAAGCAATAATGCAATGAAAAAGGTTGTTAGGCATTGATTGGCTGGAAAAGCAAACACAGTCGAAACTGAGAAAAAGGTGAACTGAAAAAAATCCCAGTCACCTGCCCGACGTAAAATTCGGGGGATTAAAACGGCAAAATTTTCATACATTTTTACACAATTTACATTAATACTTAATAAACATAATTCAATTTATTACATGGTATTTTATATAGTAATGTACAGAAATGCTACAATCTCGTTATGGTACCATCTCGTCGAGTGTTTTAACTATTAAATACACATATAGTTAGTATATAATAGATATGATTGAACGGTTATGATAATAGCATTTGTTAATAATGTAATGTGTACACCAAAAGCAAAAGATTTATGCTGACGTACACACTCACTGTAACACACCTGACCTGACCCTATCCTACTTTATATTAATTACCTGCACAATATTAGTAGTAGTACTTATTATTACTCTCAGTGCGTGTAATTTTATTTTCACTGTGTGTGAATGACGTGAGCATGACGATTGACGTCTCGAAAAAACCTCAAAACATATATACCCCCGCCCAGCCCAGTAGGTTAAATTGTCCTGTAAATATACTTTGTACATGGCATCTATTATTGCCCTATATATCTAATCTATAAATAATACCCTACAATTTATGGGGTAATGTGCTGCTGCACTGCACAATTGTGAGTGCACCTATCAATTTCTGCACCCAAATTAATTAATTAAAATGGCTAATATGATAATATGGGTTTTTGAAGGTTGATCAAGTGATTAGTTCAGTACACGAGCCGAGTCGAGTTTGAGCTTAAGTTTTTCGAGTTCGAGCCCCTTATCAAGCTGAGACGAGCTTGTCTCGTTAAATGAACGAGGCTAAAACATTACAAAAAAATTGTTATATTATATTTCAACGAAAAATCTATGCTAGTTTATAATGAAAATTCTAACGGACATTTCAATGATATAACGAAATTTCAATTAAAATATTCTGCTGGAATGTGTTTTTCTATTGGAATTATAGATGCAATTTGATGATTCCAACGGCTATGTTTCCAACGGCTTTTTACCGTTGGAATTTTCGTTGGAATATGCAATTTCTGTTGAAATTTTTATTTTCACCCCCGTTGAAAAATCTACTGTTGGAATCGTCAAAATCCAACAGAAATTCCAACGGAAAACTCATTTCAACATAATATTTTTTATGGAACTCTCGTTGGAATCTAATGAAAAATTCAAACAGAAATAATAATATTAAAAAATATCACTTCGAATTGTCGTTTAATTCTATTTGAATATATTTTCGTTGGAATCTATTTGTATATATTTTCGTTGGAATTCTATTATTTTTTTTGCAGTGAAATCTATTGCTCTTTTTCTCATATTTTTAACTACAAACAATTATATTTATTATTTTAGATTAAACGAATTTTAATCATTCATTTAA